GAGACCTAGTAGAACCAGATTATTTTATCTTCTGTAGTATCTTGAAGAAGTACAGAAGTCATTAAGCAGGATGGCAAAAAAAGGCATTTTCTACTCCTGAAATTAATGGCAGATGGCTTTTCTGGATGCAATCGCCTGTGCATCCTTAATTCCTATCTTTTCTGACAATATAAAAAAAGCTGGAATAATGGGTTACTTGGAGTTTCTGAGTATGAACTACAAAATAACACAGCTGGATTTTTTAAGAGACACCTCATTTACCCCATTTACAATCTGCATATCCATCTCATTTGGTAGCACAATTCATCAGAAGCATTTAAAATGCTGCAGAAAAGCCTTACTGTTCTTCACATTGGCATAGGCTGCTTACCTCCCTCATTTCTATGGTAACATCACCTCTTGTATACATGGGAAAAGTCACGTTCTCACATTATTAGCTGTACTCTCAGCCAGTATTCAAACACACTTCACTCACTGATGGAAACATGGAGGAGAAATTCAACATCAGCTCAACAGCCAGATCTCCACAGATCATGATGTTTCTACCACTGAAGCTATACCTTCAAAAAACAGCAAAGCTTGGGAGGGGCACCACAGCCACTATCAGGTACCCTATGGCAGGTGCTCTCATTTCCACGGATGTAAGGCAAGAGAGCTACTTGGATACAGTTCTTTCAGTAATATATTTATAGAAAAGATGTTTTCTCTCTGGAAGAGTGATTCACAGTGTAGGCAACACTGATCACCAGCCATGTCAGCCATTTCCTGGCAGGCAACAACCTACTTGGAGAATCAAGGGCCAGAGGCAAATTGAGCCAGTCCCCAGCTGTTAGGAAATGTCCATCCTAGACACCAAAAATGTCACTACAAATCAAGACAAATTATTACCTGAAAAAAAAAAATAACATAAGCTGTCTTATCCCATTTCTTTCCCTTAATGTTTCTCTTAAGTGATTTTCTAGCTATTAAAGATCGACCTAGTAATTCCTGACAAAACAAAGCAGAGTCATAAGCACATTCAATTTTCGGCCTGCCCTGAATTTACTATGGCATTCTTGGACGACAGCACTTTCCAGTATCAAGGCTTTAGTGTGCCATCTGGTGGATTTTCAGAATCTGGTACATTTTGTTTCTCTACAAACCCAGTGATATAGAGAAGCCCAATATACTAACAGGAGCACCCAGCTTTTTTGGCCACTGACAGTACCCATCATCTCATCCTGTATTTGCTTAAATCAAATTTTTGCCTGAGGTTAATAACATAACTCTTGAATTTCCAGTCAAATGAGTTTTTACTACTGTAACTATTGTAACTTTAGCTAATCCCTTATTAACTAGTCTCTTAATCAATTGTATATGTAATTGAATGGTGGCTTTCTCAAAAAAAACTTCCACAAAATTAACCTAACAGAATTCCATATTTAGGGCCACAACCTGAGGCCCTCAATTACATTTATATGCTTAATTCTCAATGACCAAACATGCTAGGATTAGTCTCTATTTGGGATGAGAGTCAAAGATGGTGAAGCAAACCATACAACTTCAAACAAAACTGAGAGTTTGAGTACTGATTCTTCATTCTAAGTACCAAAGCAACAAGCATCATTAAAAATACTGTAGGTTTTTATGATACCACATGAAAAATGTGAAGCCACCTAAAATATTTGGGGAAAAAAAAAGAAAAAAAAAAAGGTATTAGTTTTCTACTGTATTGACCCTTTCTTTGTAAATGTGAGACATCTGTACATTTTTCTTTTTTATAGAGCACAAGTTGTGTGACAAGGAAGCTGGGATGGATTCAATTTCAAACCACTCTGAGTCCTTTGAGCACACAGCCCTAAGAAGGAGCGTATCTTCTACTCCAGCATAGTGCCACAGGCATTCTTCCACTCTGCACAAGAAGCTTTATCTTCCATCACAGCTAAGACTTCCAGGGTTTTAATGCTGGATGGAGGCTGCTCTCTGAATGACTGAGCTGCAACTGACACAAAAGAGCATGAATGGGCAGTTGGATGAGGCTTCTACCCAACATACGATGTCATTTCAGAGACCTGGATTGAGGATGGCAATGACTGTATGGGAATAAAAGAAAACACCAGCTGAAAGGTGCTGGATATGTGGCTGATTCTCCTTACTGGAGTCTGGCTTTCTTTCCATAAAGAGAAAACAAGACAAACACAGATAAACAGAAAGGAGAAGAATAGTAGTGACTGAAAATGCAGCTTTTGGATTTGGTCCCAATTGTTACTGGCAACCTGACTGCAAGAGACAAACAGGCTCAGCACAGTTTTATCTGCCACTGTGAGACTTGGCAAATGTACCAACGCTGTGCCGTTCTAGACATTGATTTTAGCTGCCTTTTTGGACACCAGCTGTCTGTCTCATCAGCTGAGACAGACTTTTTAAACTGAAAACTAACATCAAGAAGTAAAAAGAAGATAAACAACTAGGGAAGACAAACAAGACAAGAAAGAAATGCGCTGATATCAGGATTTAAGTGTTAAAATCTGGGTGGTTTTAAGAACTGAACTGTTACTTGGTGAGGCAGCATTTGGATTGAGATTGTTCTCTTTCATCAGGACATCTTTTACAACCAGGTAATGCAAACCAAAGTCATATGATGGGTCTGAAGTCTCCAGGAGACTGCGAGACAATGCTGCTTTTGGTCCGGATAAGCTTTGTTGCATCAGCAACCAGTGTGGCCTGACAGGAGTGGGCTCCTGGTATCTACATTGAAAGAGTTTCAAGAAGCCTATTGTGCATTAGGTCTGGCCTGACCCCATAGACTTAATGACCATTAGGATTTACAGCTCATTCTCCAGATTACTTTAGCTTGAACGGAAATCTGGAAGTCCCAAGAGCACTTTACAATGAAATCCAAAGCACAGTAGCAGGGATAAGTGGAGATTCAATTATAAAGTGCAGAGCTGATCTCTGTAGAGAGTTTTCTGGGGACAGAAGTCCATGAGGACAACCCCAGATTGGTACAGTAGCAGAAAGAGGAAGCTCTTTTGGCACCACCTTGCCCAACCTGCCTACAGGGAGAAAGACACAAATTCACATTTTTGTTCATGTTGCCTTTCTGTCTTGTTCTGAGTATTTCTTGAAGGAGCATAGTCAGGTTTTTGTTATCCTGAATAAATTAGAGTGTAGCCCTTAGTGTATTATATGTCTTCACTGCAAATTAAATCCACTCATAAATAAGGGTTATAAAATGTATATTTTATTTAAGAATAGAAGTGCAGGAGTTACTGTATAAGGTCTTTAACTGAGATTGAAAGCACATCGCAAAGTTTAAGTATCATCTAAATAGATAAAAAATACAGATACTGCTGGCAGAAAACTGAAAGCATATAACATATAATTAATTTCAACCAACATTAAATACCTTGGAGAATTAAAGACACAAGAGAATACAGATTACAGTAGTTTAAGACATTTTTCCTTTAATTTTGCAAGTTCAGTATGACATCTGAAAGCCATTTTTATGTCAGTTCTTTCACACTAATCCAACTTTACTTGCAGTAAAGTACTGCAAATTATACCATTTGTTTTACATGTGAAAACTAACAACATCCTGTCTTCACAGTACATCCAGTCAAAGAAAACCTTCTGGTGATGTAGTACTTGAGTAGTTTCCACTGCTTTTGCATCACATAACATTTTATAGGAAGTTCAAGGACTTCTGACATAAGGCTTGTTTTTACAGAGCAACAGTGTTTCTGAAGCCTCCACAACATAAAAGGAATTTTAGCACCTTTAATAAATATATATAAATTATTTTTATAACTCTGCATGTGGATCCAGTAAGTTTCAAAGTGTACATTTACTAAAACAAGCTGGTGTAAGTTTGATTTTAATCAAAGAAACCTTTGATACCAATACCTCAACACCTTTTCAAGGTTTTGCATGCATCAGTTCAATGAGTTCAAAATAAAATCTTAAGACAATACTGTGAAATTTTGTGCTCGTATAAAGTCTGACTGACACCTCTAGATAAAGCCTTCACTAACTAGCCACAAGTTCAGTTGGTTACAACAGATCAATAAGCTTTCTTTTTTTCCCTATTACTGTGCCTCACTTTGTATGTCATGGCAGTGTGTAGAACACCAGCACCTCTTTTTGTGACTTTTCTAAGTTTTATCTTTCTTCTATCTTCTAGTATGTGGTTAATAAGTGTCACAAAACTTCTCATTATATGCACAAATTAAGATACACACCCTACTAACAGAAAACAAGTTCTGCATTTAAAATTGCCATATATGAAGAACACCATTTAAGGTAATTTGACATCATATCTTTTGTCTAAATTACCAAATATTTAATTTTATGATGACATTGTAACACAGTCTTTTTGTCTAAACCACCAAACATCTGATTTAGGTTCATGGGGAAAATGGATGTGTGAGGAGGGGTCATTAGATGCAGAAATCATATAATCATATGATCACAGACTGGTTTGGGTTGGAAAGGATGTTAAAGCGCTTCCAGCTCCAACCCCCCCCGCCATGGGCAGGGACACCTCCCACTAGCCCAGATTGCGCAAAGCCCCATCCAACCTGGCCTTGAACACTGCCAGGCATGGGGCAGCCACAGCCTCTCTGGGCAACCTGTGCCAGTGCCTTAGCACTCTCACAGTAAAGAACTTCTTCCTTATATCTATCCAAATCAGCTGAACAAAGAAAATTAACAATGCTGATCGTGTAGGTATAAGCTGAAGAGTGGTCTGAGCCACTGTATGTATGGATTACCGGGACAGACCCTCGCTTCTCGGTGCTCCCACAACTACCCGCGCTACCCGGGCCTGCGGTAGAGCCGGCAGGCAGGCGCGACAGCGCGGTACTCTGATATGAACCACCCAGCAGCCACACCGGCTGCTCCGCCATGACGTGCCGCACTCGCGGCGCCCCGACCGCGGTACTTTCCGCCGGCGGCACTCGGAAACGCGTCCTCCGCGACATAGTCATTCCGCGCCGCCGGAGGGTAAGTGACGCCATCGCAGCGCGCCGTGGCGTGTGCAGACGCGGCCACCACCCGTCCGCAGCATGGCCGTGGCGGGGCCGCCGCCCACCGCCGCCGCTATCCCCTCTTTTGCCGTGGCCTGCGGCCTGGTGTGGCAGCGTTATTCGTGCCTGGTGGTGGCGCCGCACCGCAGGCACGTCGCGCTGGCGCCGCGCTACCTGGGCCGCAAGCGCACCGGCATCCGCGCCCAGCTGGACGCCGAGCTCCTGCGGTACTCGGAGAGGTGAGGCCGGGGACCGGGCTTGGCTCGGAGGAGGCCTCAGCCTGCCTGACCTCCCCCGGCACGGTGGTAGATGGCTTCGACTTAACGGTTAACTTTGCCCCCTCTTTTCTTACAGCCTTCAGGGTGTGCCGGTGGCTTACGACAATATTAAAGTGGTGGGCGCGCTCGGGGACATTTACGACGACCAAGGATTCATCCACCTGAACATCGAGGCTGATTTCGTGATCTTCAGCCCCAAGAAAGGGAAGAAACTGGTGGTATGTAAACGTGTTGGCATCTCACGGGGCTGCTTTTCTTTAAAATAAAGCATGGCTTATCTCCGTCATCGTCAGAGGTCTGGGACTTTGGTGGAGTTATGTTTTAGTTTATGTTAGTAGTTTATTGTATAGTTTACAGTAGTTTATTAGCAGCTTGTAGTAGTAGTGTTTATTTGAATTGTCTGTCCCAATATGTGCTAAATACATATGTGTTAAGAAAAAATATATAAAATACATATATTGTGAGAAAAATGTAGGGGGTTTCGTTATGAGCGAGCTAAAGGCAGAACGGAAAGTCTGTAGGACATGGGGTTCCAGAATGTGGGCCCCAGACAAGGAAGTTTGCGGTCAGTGACAGGAACATCTATACACAGTATGTTATATAGGTAAATTTATGTAACTGCAAGGCTTGAACGTATGTGTCAAAAGCAAAGTTCAGAAGTTCATTCGTGAGGAAGACTCAGAGCCTTCCTCCCTACGACCACCAGAGACCCTCCGAGAGCTGTCAAAGGGGAGGGGTTTGGGTTCGCGGAAAATGTAAATCATTTCTCAGAAGAGGGGGAGCATAATCAGGAAACGAAACCTAGAAAGATGTGTAAACTGTAAATATCCACTGCGCAGGTGTGCTCATCTGTCCATAGGTGATGCACTCAGAATGCTGCTGTTAAAGGGCTCTTTGCTTCACAATTTCTGTCTGTGAAATTTTGATTGTTGAGTATGTTTCTCACATATATGTTATGAAAATACTGTATCATCCGGATTTATTATTATACCAGATCATAATTCTGGCTATCACTGATACTGATGCTTCTTTCTGAAGAGCAGATAATTATCAAACAACTTTGCTTGTTCTTACTTGATAGTGGCAGGAATGTTTAGGATGTTCTCACAAGTTTAGTTCCTTAAGTTCAAGAGCAGTACATCAAACTGAAGCCTGCCTTCCCAGGAAAGGAAACGTATGGCTCTCTAAACAGCTGTAAGCTTGTTAATGTCCTTGCATCAGTACTTGAGAAAAAATAAGTTGGCAGTTGGCTTACATTCCTTGTTGTGTCATACCTTTTGCAGCATAGCTTGTGTTTTTCTATCTTTCTAAATGTGATTAAGAAGTGAATGTGTGTTCTTGCTCAGAAAAGAATGAGAAAACCCTCAGTCTTTCATTCATCTTTGAGGAAAACAAAGATCAATGATGTTTGACATATAAATGTGGCAGAAACCCCATGAATGAAGAGCTTAAAAGCTGTGTGGTCTGCATCTTTAGCTGCCAAGTATTTCTGTGCCAGCGTGAAGGCTGTTAGAGGCAAGTAAATCAGACTTAAAATGTCTTTAAAGCAAAGTTGATGGCTGTAGAAAAGAGTTATCTGTTCTATTCAGCTAGCCACTATGGCTAAATCGCTCATTTTGATTATCTTGCAGGTAGAGGTTAATTCTGTTTTTGGAGGAATCATATGAAGAGTGTATAGGGATAGCTTTGATTTTAGTGAAAAATTCTTAACTTATCTGTAGATAAACTGATTTTGTAAGGTATGCATCAACTTTTGTTGAGAAGTGTCCATATAAGGAACTAAATATATACCACATGTGATGTTCACTAGGGTTCATATGATGTTCTTTTTCCTTTTTAGGGTGTAATTAATAAAGTGGCCCCTAGTCATATTGGCTGCCTGATACATGGATGCTTCAATGCTTCTATCCCTAAACCTGAACAAATGTCAGTTGCACAGTGGCAAGACCTGGGGTTAAAAATAGGCGATGAACTGAAATTTCAAGTATTGCACTTAGATTCTGATGCAGCTGGGGTGTTCTTCATTCGAGGAGGACTCACTAAAAGCCGGTATTGTGCCCTACTAAAGAGTATTTTTAACTGTTTTAATGGGTTTGTTACAAGCTCAATGATTTGACTTTATGTCATAATCTTTAAGCTTTCCTTTGTTTTACACAAGCACATACCTATATATAGCTTGTGTTAGTTGCATTAAACTAAACTTTCTAGTGTTAAAGGCGCGTGGAAGTTTTCTCTAGAAAAATATAAGTAGATACTTTTTTAGCTTTAAAAATCTGAGTGTGCTGACCTGTGAATTGTTGATTGCATAAATAAAAATACATGATCAAAATAGCATCCCCAGATGTCTAGCTGTGCTTATGAAAAGCTTAGGCCATTCAAGGGGAGCAGTCTGGTTTCTCAACACAGTGTTTATGTAAGTGTTTACACACACATGCGCACACACACATTAGATAACTACAGACAGCTGTACTTGTGTGACTTAAATGCTTGCTGAAACATCAGAATATCAAAGATGATACAAGAGAATGCATCAGCTTCCTCTTTTCACGTATGCCTCTCTAAATTTTCAGAGCAGTTTGCTAAAAATCTTAATAGTGCTATCTTTAAAAGAGATCAGGTTTATTTTTTTTAAGTGGTCATTTGCTGAGCAATTTTTTTTTCTACTAATCGTAGAATAGTTAGGGTTGGAAGGACCGTAAGATCATCTAGTTCCAAGCCACTGCCATGGGCAGGGACACTTTTCACCAGACTGTGTCACCCAAGGCTCTGTCCAACCTTGCCTTGGAACACTGCCAAGGATGGAGCATTTACCACTTCTTTGGACGTGTTGCAGTGCCTCACCACCCTCACAGTAAAGAACTTCTTTCTTATATCTAACCTAAACTTCTCTTGTTTAAATTTAAACCCATTACTCCTCTTCCTATCACTACAGTCCCTGATGAAGAGTCCCAATGTAGTTTTTAATTAAATGTACAACTTGTCTAGTACTGAAAAAATCATAACATTTTTTCTTTGGTTTTCTTAATCTGAAAGGGTGCTCTAGACTATTTCAGTGAATTTACAATGAAACTTAATGATTTTGTCCTCAGTGCCTCTTGGGACATCTCATGGTTTTTAACTTTTTTCTCCAGTGCTCTCAGTTGCAGGGTAGCTGCTTTTTTTGTTGTTTTGTTTTGTTTTATTTTATTTTGTTTGGGGTTTTTTCTTTCTTCTTTTTTTGATTTTTCTGGCATTGCCTTTGTTTTAACTGCATACTTCAGCAAGGCAACTGCTTGGAAAAAACAGCACCCTGTGTCATGTGTGAACAGGCTGTTGGTTATGCGTGCTTCTGAATAACTTAAGAAGCTTTACTACACAATTTGTAATTATGAATTAGTGGATGAAGGAGTACAAGAAAAAAGGAAAAATCAAAATGGTCTGTACAGCATATATTAGAGGAGGGTTAAATTTGAAAGAAAATACTAATTCTGAGGTAAAAAGTGAGCCATTCAAGTAATAGAAATTACCCTAAAAGTAGTAAATCAGCTTTATGATTTTCTGTAATTAGAGTATCATCTTCTCTGTCTCTTGCTGTTTTTACAAATGCTTATGTTTTATCTACTTAGTGTATATATTGTGCTTTAGCAAATTTTGACATTGGACTGTGTGTGTTGAACTTTAATGTCTCTACATCAGTTTATATTGTATATTTCTTTACAGCATGAAGCCTAAAAAATCTGGGGCTGTCACTGACAGTGCAAATGGAGATGAAACTCAAAAGCTTGACCACCAAGAAAATAGCTTGAATGACTCTGTGGGAGATAATGTTACAGAGAAGCCATTTGATGAGACTAGTAACACTGGGAAGGAAAATGCGGAAGAGCAAAGCGTCAGTGCCATGAATGGATTATGTGATGATAAAAACAAGAAGAAGAAAAAGAAAACACATAAGCCAGAAGAAAATGTATTGCCTACCACTGACTCCAGTGGTTACCAAAGTGACCATAAAAGGTCAAAGAAAAGAAAGCATTGCAGTGAAGTTGAAGCAAGTGAATTATCTCAGCTGTCACAAGAACCCAAAGCTAAAAAAACTAAAAAGGAACTACAGTCTCAAGTGCCTTTCCTGAATAAGAGTTCAGATGTTTTTGATAAGCTGTCACATAGCAAGGAGAAGGTTAGAAAGTAAAATTGTATTTTGTCCTATAACTGTATTGATAGTTACATCAAAGAAACTATCAGGTGATCTAGAGAAAACACATGCAGGTATTTTTCCTGTTTTAACAGTAGGTTGTCAACAAAGCCAATATTCACGTCTGTCTATGGTTGTTAATCTTTTGTCTATGTTATGAAAAATGTAGTTCCAACTTAACCAGCTATTGTGAGTTTCTAAAGCAAGGTCAACTTCTTTGTTGTGTTACAAATATTTTGATTCTGCAAACATGTTTTTAGAGTATTGAATGCCTTTGGCAGGAGAGCAAGTGCTCTTAGAAAAAAGTATTTTTAGCTGTTATTAAAACAATTGTTCTGCACTCTGTGAAGCCTGCAGTGATCTGCAGTATTATCTTTTGCCCTTTGTCTTTTCCTTGCTTCTTTTAGAACAAATTCTTTGCTTTTGGTTTGGCAGTTTTCTGTTGCTCAAAATATGCAGCCCAAACAGACCAGTGGATGAGCTCTAAGGAAGGATTTTTTTTAAAGGGCCTAAGTAAGCTAGCTGCCTTTTGGAAAACATGAGCCTTGATCAAAACTGCCTCTGAATAAATGGTTTGCCTTTGGAAGCATCCCAACCTTTGACAGCCCTCAGACAGTACAGACCGTTGTTGTAAAAAGCATGGGGGTAGTTAGATACCCAAACTGTTAGAGCTCATTTTTTTCCATATACCTGTGAAGAGGTTATGTGATCTGATGCTCTCAGGATTTTTAGGGTTGGCTATGAAAGGGCTGAAATAGTTTCATTATAACAAGGCATATATTTTTCTTACCATAATGTTGATTCTATTCTGCTTTTTAGCTTTTGGAAATTCTGTCATTTCAATAAAGCCTGAAGGAATTGAGTAGACTCAGTTTATAGAGAGAAGATATTTTGTCTTCTGGATTCGTGTGTACACAAGTAAGACTCTGAAAATGAAGCTTCACACTTCTCCAACATTGTCAGTAAATGCATTTTTTAAAGACACAGATCATGATTTTTATGTCATGACTTTACACATCACCAAGTTTGGTTAAATTCGGCTCTAAGGCTTGTAGCAAGCCACTGAGTTGGCTTGATGTTAAGCAGTTAGGAACAATCACAGCCGGGCAATGGCTTCCTGAAATAAGAATAAAAAGATTGCCAATTTTTAGCCAAACAATAGATACGGGTGTAAAGTGCGGGAAGAAAATAGGCTGCATACCCCTACAATGTCTTGCTATGAGAGTTCTCACTGGGCTTGAGATACGTTGCAGTCTAAAACATTTTCAGGTTGTAAAGCAGCAAGGCCCTTAAGCATCAGCAGCAAGGGACCATAAAAAAAGCAGTGCTTCTTCATATTATAAAGATTGTAGGAAAACTTATTGACGGATTATTTCAGCATTTTTCTATTGAGCACTTCTAATTTTATATTGACAAATGTAACAAAGGAAAAAAACCCACTTTCATTTTCTGTAACATTTTTTCCTTGGTGATGTTGCAGCTTTTTCTTACCTCTGAGCAAAAACTGTTCTGTTAATTATATTTCTAGTGGTTAGGAAAGCTTGAGTACAGGGAGTTCTGACACTTCAGGTTTTCTTTGGGTTTTTAATAAATTATAATAATTACAATTATGTTTAGACTTTGTTTCTTTACTGGAGCACACTTTGAAAGATGGTCTAAGAAATTTCAATGAATTTGTGAAAAACTGAGTAGGAGAGAAGGATTTAAAAAATGAGAAAAAGCTGTGAGTTTCTTCAGAAACCCAGAGTACAAAAGGCAAAATTTCAGTTTAATGAAGTTTTTGAGATTTCAGACTCTTTTCTGAGAATAGAAAGAAACTTGAAAAGTTCTTTTTAAGGACATCTCTCTCTTTTCTCCACTGAGCATTTTCAGTCCATTCAAAATGCTTCTATAGTTTTTGGAAGTGTGATGTAAGATATTTGAAATGTGCAAATAGTAATTTCAAATAGAGAAGTATCCCATTCTAGGTATCTGAATTACATTGTTAGGTAGGTAACCAAAAGATTCTTTTTTTTTTTTCCAAATTCATATTATGGTGAAATTGACTGATTTTTTCATTTTGCTTAAAATATGTCAAAACACAATTCCAAGCAAACCACTCTGATCCACTATGAATTTCGCTTTATGTGTAAATTCAGTGCAGGACTCGGAAAAATCTGGTTTACAGAAGGGTTCTGCCTGTTCTCATGCAATGCCACATGGTGGAGTATTGCCTTTTCTGTAGGGCTTTTTCCCCCATCTGTCATCAAAAGAACTCAAAACTTCTGTGAATTGAGGAGCAGAAGTTTCTGGTAAGCATAAGATATGTTAGCTTCAGAGCATTACTTTGTATCAGCACTGTGCTACTGGAGCAATTGCAAAGTCCCTTGTCAAAACCACAGAAGGTTCTGAATGGCAAAGGACACTTCTGCACTTTGTTGTACTTTTTGATTGCATTCCACTCTTGGACTACATAATTATACTGACTGTAATAAGAGTGAGAGCCTGCAGACTTACTTAATTCCTCCCATTGCAATATAGCAAGGTGTGCTTCTGTATTACAGTTGACTGTAAAGAAAACTTGTTTATTCAGGTGGAAAAAACTAACACACAAAGCTGCATTTTTTTTAATTTTTTTTTTTAATCTAAGTAGTATTTTAACAGGGTGAAGTAGAATGCAGCCATAAATGAGAGGGCTAAAATAATAACTGAAATGAGACTGGAAAAGAAACAGAATTTGTATGTGGTCTGAATTTAGGCATCAAAACCTTTGTATTTACCCTAGCTCCTATGAGCATGTTAGTTTAGTTTGTTTTCTAGTTTTCACATGTCTCAAAGTCCAGTTAATATGTGTATTGATCCAGTATTTCACTGTTCATATTCCAGATTCTTTCCTTTATTTTTATAGGAAAAGAGCCTTATGTGTCTCATGCAAATGCTGTGATGCGTAGGTGCATTTGGTTGTACTTTCTTAGCAAATTTTATTTATTGCCCAGTTTTCAGACTTCTACTTAACTAAAATACTGAATTCCTATAAGTTTCATGGAAATGAGTCATTAGGCAGAGAAGAGAAATTGCATTAGTTACCCTGTTTCAAGAAAAAGTGACCCCAAGGTAAGATGTGCTGAGCCCTAACCCCTCTGGACTCCGTGGCAGTGGGAAAAACTTCATGCAGAGCTATGTACCTTACTAGGCATGAGGAGATGGGAAGGAATGCAGACTGCCAACCCGCATAGGCTGCTGTGCTGTAACAGTACTACCTGTAGACACATTTGAATTATGTTAATGTAGAAAGGCTGACATGAGATTGCAGATTTAGCTCTCTGCACTTTATCAGTCACAAAGTAAAATACAGAAATTGTCCTGGCAGTTGAAACTATAACCCACTTGACTGCACTGAATGACAGTAATGTGGTCTGTTATGCTTGTCCTTGTTCTGGGTAAGGGTGTCTTGTCTGTAGAGCTTCACTGGGAAGGTTAAAAAGTGTCTTAATTCCGCTTAGCATGTTGAGTGATGTTCCGACCTGAACATAAATCCATGTGTTTTACGTGTTAGCGATATAACCGTTAGAGTCTTGCAGAAAAGGTGGATAAGAAAATCTTTACCTTTAGTAATAAATTACATTTTGAGAGCAAACTAAGCTCTGCTTATGGAATAGTTGTGGGGTTTTCAGGTTTACATGTGTGAGGACTCAAAAACATCAGTAGAACTCTGCCATGTTTGTGAATATTAGTAATAGACTGTGCTACTATGCTTGTGGTATGTCTGTGCTCTGGATCTGGCTCAGATTGCTTCAGGCTTAGTCTTGAAAGTACCCATTGATGAAGATTAGGAATTGCATGATTTTTTAAGGGTAACTAGAGAGTGGAATTAAGAGGATTCACTAAAAAGCTCAACTATAAAAAGACTGATTCATAACTTTAGAGGAAGCATTGAATAAATCTGCTATGAAAGACAGCTAATGAGACATAATGGAACTGTGCACTAAACTGTGGAAGATGTTCACACTGCTTTGTAGTGGAATGGGATATTGAAATCAGTGCAACAAGCTAAAATTAGGACCCTATCAAGAAAACCAGTTTATGTGGGACCAGTGTTCATGAAACTCTGCTTATTAAAACTCTAGAAAAACAGAAGCTTCTGTTTGACAGATAACCGTCTGTGCTAAAGGACTTTCATTCTGTTAGTCTTAACTAAAAAATGCCTCTCACCATTGAGCTGTCTCGTCTGCTCTTAGTTTTCAAACACCAATAATAAATTCTGTAGAAACCCTTTAGTGCTAGCAAATTGGCAGTGTTTATTTGGTTTTAGGTACAATATGTAATCCAAACCGCTTTTTTCCCTTCAAGTTGCAGATTTTATAATTGGAAAAGCTTGGTCCACAAATTCTAAGGAGAGTAGTATTCTCACTAGTTCAATATAAAATTAACAGACCATTTGTGAGATCAGTACTAAAATATTGTTTAAGTGACAAATAAAATTCTTAGTTCTGTGTGACTGTGCAATTTATGTAGTACAATTCATAGTACTACGTAGCAAGGCCAGGATGGGGAGTAGCAAGATTTCTGCTGAAGGCCTGAAGCTAAGAGTTAGGAGGGTATGGTTAGTAGGTTACAGGAGAGTAAAACTTTGATCTCAGTCAGCTATTCATAACATACCGGTCTGATCAGTATCAGAAGAAAAAGAAATAGTGTTATCTTAATTTTTTTACGCTAATTTAGACTGAACGTCATACAGTATTAGTTTGGCACTGTGCTAGTGGCATGTCAGCTGTCTCCAGGGCCCTTGTCAAAAGCAGAGGAAAGTCTCCTGTGCCATTACTGTAAAATAAATAACATTCTCAGAAGATTAATACAGTGCTGGAACACAGAGTGTTACTACTTGTCATAAAATAGACAGAAAAGGGTTGCATTCTAAAAGGCAAGACTTAGGATATGACTGATCCCAGTGAAAGGTTTGTTGATCTGGAAATATCATTTCAGAAAGAAATGATGAGCAAGTGTCCAACACTGGATGTTATGACAGGACACATGTCCAAAACGCAGTTCTGCAGCTAAACTTCTTCCAAGGAAATTTAACCTTGTCTGGTCCGGGAATCTCATGAATCTGAATTGTGTTTTGAACTTATCTTCATCAGTATTGTTTTCGCTTAGGCTACACAGTAAATAAATGCTATATGGAGAGCCCTTTTTCCTTACATTGCTACTGTAGCTGAAACTAACGAGAAAAGTGATGTATTAATCACAAAAAAAAAAAAAAAAAAGAAAAGCAAGCCCCAAATATACATACTGTGGGGTGACAACTAAGTTCCTGTCTAGTTACATTGTACATTGTGAGTTAAGTTTTGCTCCCCATTTCCAAACTGCAGTGAGAGTAACGAGACTCATATCTCTCTTCGTCCCCCCTCCACCATCCCTTGTAAATCAGAGTGCAATCAGCAATTCCAAACTGCTTACTGTGCACCTACAGATATTGTAAGTGTTGCTTAACAAGAAGTCAAACAGCTAATCATGATTTATGGCCATGCCAGGGGCTCTGCCACGTGTTCCACCAGCTGGATCCTGCTATGGAGGATCAGGGGACTGTCAGGGTGTGCTGCTACCCCCATCCATCCTGAAACCCAGTTTTCCTCTCCCTGGGCTAGAGGTGTACATGTAAGCCCCATCTCAATTCAAAACACGACTGTAGCTGGAGAAATGCACACTACCCAAGAACTGAGCATATTCCTGATTAAAAAAAAAGATAAAAGCAAAAAAAGGAAAAACTCAGAACTGTAAGGAACTGGGAGGAGAGCTGGCTCTTTGATGTGATGTCCTTCTTATCACCCTGAACATGTGTGTCTCAGTAACATAAATGATATTTCATCATCTTCCAGTCACTAG